TATATATATATATATATATATATATATGGTTGGTACTAGATGGGGTGTGGTACTGGAGGTATGTGGTGGGTGGTGGTGGTGGTACTGGAGGTAGGTGGTGGTGGTGTTACTGGAGGTATGTGGTGGGTAGTGGTGGTGGTACTGGAGGTGTGGTGGGGGGTGGGTGGTGGTACTGGAGGGTATGTGGTGGGTGGTGGTGGTGGTACTGGAGGTATGTGGTGGGTGGTGGTGGTACTGGAGGTATGTGGGGGGGGTGGTGGTGGTACTGGAGGTATGTGGTGGGTGGGTGGTGGTGGTACTGGAGGTATGTGGTGTGGTGGTGGTGGTACTGGAGGTGTGGTGGTGGTGGTGGTACTGGAGGTATGTGGTGGGTGGTGGTGGTGGTGGTGGTGGGTGGTGGTGTACTGGAGGTATTTTGTGGGTGGTGGTACTGGAGGTATGTGGTGGGTGGTGGTGGTGGTACTGGAGGTATGTGTGGTGGTGTACGGGAGTATGGTTTGGTGTGGTGGTGGTGGTACTGGAGGTATGTGGTGGGTGGTGGTGGTGGTACTGGAGGTATGTGGTGGGTGGTGGTGGTGGTACTGGAGGTATGTGGTGGGTGGTGGTGTTACTGGAGGTATGTGGTGGGTGGTGGTGGTGTTACTGGAGGTATGTGGTGGGTGGTGGTGGTGGTACTGGAGGTATGTGGTGGGTGGTGGTGGTGTTACTGGAGGTATGTGGTGGGTGGTGGTGGTGTTATTGGAGGTATGTGGTGGGTGGTGGTGGTGGTACTGGAGGTATGTGGTGGGTGGTGGTGGTACTGGAGGTATGTGGTGGGTGGTGGTGGTGTTACTGGAGGTATGTGGTGGGTGGTGGTGGTGTTACTGGAGGTATGTGGTGGGTGGTGGTGGTGTTACTGGAGGTATGTGGTGGTGGTGGTGGTGGTACTGGAGGTATGTGGTGGGTGGTGGTGGTGGTACTGGAGGTATGTGGTGGGTGGTGGTGGTGGTGGTGGGTACTGGAGGTATGTGGTGGGTGGTGGTGGTGTTACTGGAGGTATGTGGTGGGTGGTGGTGGTGGTGTTACTGGAGGTATGTGGGGGTGGTGGTGGTGGTGTTACTGGAGGTATGTGGTGGGTGGTGGTGGTACTGGAGGTATGTGGTGGGTGGTGGTGGTGTTACTGGAGGTATGTGGTGGTGGTGGTGTTACTGGAGGTATGTGGTGGGTGGTGGTGGTGGTGTTACTGGAGGTATGTGGTGGGTGGTGGTGGTGGTGTTACTGGAGGTATGTGGTGGGTGGTGGTGGTACTGGAGGTATGTGGTGGGTGGTGGTGGTGTTACTGGAGGTATGTGGTGGGTGGTGGTGGTGTTACTGGAGGTATGTGGTGGGTGGTGGTGGTGTTACTGGAGGTATGTGGTGGGTGGTGGTGGTGTTACTGGAGGTATGTGGTGGGTGGTGGTGGTGGAGGGTGGTGGTGGTGGTGTTACTGGAGGTATGTGGTGGGTGGTGGTGGTGGTGTTACTGGAGGTATGTGGTGGGTGGTGGTGGTGGTGTTACTGGAGGTATGTGGTGGGGGTGGTGGTGGTGTTACTGGAGGTATGTTACTGGAGGTATGTGGTGGGTGGTGGTGGTGTTACTGGAGGTATGTGGTGGTGGTGTCACTGGAGGTATGTGGTGGGGGTGGTGGTGGTGTTACTGGAGGTATGTGGTGGGTGGTGGTGGTGTCACTGGAGGTATGTGGTGGGTGGTGGTGGTGGTGGTGGTGGTGTTACTGGAGGTATGTGGTGGGTGGTGTTACTGGAGGTATGTGGTGAGTGGTGGTGGTGTTACTGGAGGTATGTGGTGGGTGGTGGTGGTGTTACTGGAGGTATGTGGTGGGTGGTGGTGGTGTTACTGGAGGTATGTGGTGGGTGGTGGTGGTGTTAATGGAGGTATGTGGTGGGTGGTGGTGGTGTTAATGGAGGTATGTGGTGGGTGGTGGTGTTACTGGAGGTATGTGGTGGGTGGTGGTGGTGTTACTGGAGGTATGTGGTGGGTGGTGGTGGTGTTACTGGAGGTATGTGGTGGGTGGTGGTGGTATTACTGGAGGTATGTGGTGGGTGGTGGTGGTGTTAATGGAGGTATGTGGTGGGTGGTGGTGTTACTGGAGGTATGTGGTGGGTGGTGGTGGTGTTACTGGAGGTATGTGGTGGGTGGTGGTGGTGTTAATGGAGGTATGTGGTGGGTGGTGGTGTTACTGGAGGTATGTGGTGGGTGGTGGTGGTGTTACTGGAGGTATGTGGTATATATATATATATATATGTCGTACCTAGTAGCCAGAACTCACTTCTATGCCTACTATGCAAGGCCAGATTTGCCTAATAAGCCAAGTTTTCATGAATAATTGTTTTTCGTCTACCTAACCTGCCTAACCTAACCTAACTTAACTTTTTCGGCTACCTAACCAAACCTAACCTATAAAGATAGGTTAGGTTAGGTAGGATTGGTTAGGTTCGGTCATATATCTACGTTAATTTTAACTCCAATAAAAAATAATTGACCTCATTCGTAATGTAATGGGTAGCTTTATCATTTCATAAGAAAAAAGTTAGAGAAAATATATTAATTCAGGAAAACTTGGCTTATTAGGCAAATCGGGCCTTGAAAAGTAGGCCAAGAAGTGAGTTCTGGCTACTAGGTACGACATATATATATATATATATATATATATATATATATATATATATATATATATATATATATATATATATATATATATATATATATATATATAAATATATATATATATATATATATATATATATATATATATATATATATATATATATATATATATATATATATATATATATGTCGTACCTAATAGCCAGAACGCACTTCTCAGCCTACTATGCAAGGCCCGATTTGCCTAATAAGCCAAGTTTTCATGAATTAATTGTTTTTCGACTACTTAACCTACCTAACCAAACCTAACCTAACTTTTTCGGCTACCTAACCAAACCTAACCTATAAAGATAGGTTAGGTTAGGTTAGGTATGGTTGGTTATTTTCGGTCATATATCTACGTTAATTTTAACTCCAATAACAATAAATTGACCTCATACATAATGGAATGGGTGGCTTTATCATTTCATAGGAAAAAAATTAGAGAAAATATATTGATTCAGGAAAACTTGGCTTATTATGCAAATCGGGCCTTGAAAAGTAGGCCAAGAAGTGAGTTCTGGCTACTAGGTACGACATATATATATATATATATATATATATATATATATATATAATATATATATATATATATATATATATATAAATATATAAATATATATATATATATATATATATATATATATATATATATATATATATATATATATATATATATATAATATAATATCCGTCTCCCGCCCTCCCCCCCCCCTCCTGCCCTAACTGGGTATTTGGTATCATTAGTGAATTACTGCGAGAAAGGCTTGGCCTGCGTACCTGGTCTTTCGAGAGTTGTGCTCCCGCAGCCCAAGGTCAGGTTCTTTTTTTTCTTTTGCGTTAACTTGATCGGTATGGCTGTTGGTGGCAGCGGCTCGCAGGCCACACAACATCACAACCCTTCCTGTAATATCCTGTTTAATTCCCCTGTGAAAATTTAAATCATTGTTCCAACAATATTTTTCATTTACTGGAAGAAAAGGATATAATTCGTGGGCCTCTTAAGTGTTCTCCGTCCTTAGGGCACCTCTGTTGTTCTCCATTTTCTGTTATATCTTTTGTTCCAATACATTGTTATTTTCTTGTACAGGTTGGAGGAGCTGGCGGCCTTGGAGTACCTTGCATGTATATAGTGTGTGGTGTCTCCCTGGTCGTGGGAGACACCACACGGGCTCACCATAGCCTGTGCTACATGGACACTTCGTCCTGAGTAGCTAAATCTTTAACAACAACAACAACCCTGGTTGTGGTTCCCTAGCTGCTGCTGGGTCAAGCCCTGCTGGCTCTACTGTCACTGTGAAGCTTCAGCTCCACACTGTGAAGCTTCAGCTCCACACTGTGAAGCTTCAGCTCCACACTGTGAAGCTTCAGCTCCACACTGTGAAGCTTCAGCTCCACACTGTGAAGCTTCAGCTCCACACTGTGAAGCTTCAGCTCCACACAGTGAAGCTTCAGCTCCACACTGTGAGAATAGCTTGAGCTACCTCATCCCTTTGTGTGTGTTTTACATCAATAAACTTATTTTCACACTGTTCTGTCATCGGCCACTTCCCGCTCCCACTTCACCTGTACAATCGGTTGATTAACTTAGTGCTTTCCCCGCATTATTACCTTACCTCTTGGGCTGGTCGGTACAGCAGTGACGGCCTCGCTTCTTGCATGTCTGCGTTCAATCCCCGATGACCGAGTGCATCATTCCTCCAATCCTAACCCCCCTATTCTGACCGCGTATTCTTACTATAGTCATAGTAACTTAACGCTTTCTTTTACTGTTTATCTTGCATTTATTGGGTAATGTTGTGGGCTATTATGGTGTTGGAGGTGACTGTGGCGTGTGCCGCTGTGCCCGTCTCCCTGCCAGACACAATATTGACCTACTGCCTACGCTCCTCTTGTTCCATCTCTGCAGGTATGCAACCTAAGCGCTGACGCCTCGTCTTCCCTCGCGTTAGTCACCAGCTCCAACATACATTAGCGTCAGATATAAGAAATTCTGTAGTTACCTTTGTTCTTAAATGTCATTTTTGATAAGCTTCAATTGCAGTGTTTTCAAGTTCTTAATTACGGTAGTGTCGAAATATGTTGAGAGAACATGGGAACCGGTCGGCTGAGCGGACAGCACGCTGGACTTGTGATCCTGTGGTCCCGGGTTCGATCCCGGGCGCTGGCGAGAAACAATGGGCCTAGTTTCTTTCACCCAATGCCCCTGTTACCTAGCAGTAAAATAGGTACCTGGGTGTTAGTCAGCTGTCACGGGCTGCTTCCTGGGGGTGGAGGCCTGGTCGAGGACCGGGCCGCGGGGACACTAAAGCCCCGAAATCATCTCAAGATAACCGCAATTATTTTCGGGAATTATTAAAGAAAGGAGTGGGTGGGCGTGGATCAATGCCGTCATAGCCAGGACCAGCAGTGGCAGGCGACTCCTGCGGCCGCATCACCTGACGGATGTCTTTAATCTCCGGAGTGTTGTGTCGGACCTTCTTGGTGGGCGTCTCGCCGGCACCAGCCCAACCCGTCCTCTTAAAAATAACGTCGCTTTTCGCTCGTGTGCGCTATGGCCAAAATTGGCCGTATTTTTAAATGAAATCGGCTCACAAAAGTGATATACTGTCCCGTTTTATGTTTGAGTCCTCTGGCTTACTCGGAAAAGTTAGGAGAGGAAACTTTCAATTAACATTTTCCATGACGTTTTGAAACTTGTGGATAATTTTCTTTTTCTGCTCCTTAGTGTTCAGGTCTTAGGAGGTAGGGGCAGGTCGGGGTGCACTCAACTCTTCGTATTATTGTTTTTAGATTCAGCAACTCGGTACAAGCAGTTCCAAGTAGCACGGGGCTATACCTCTTCGTGCTTGCAGGCTCGAATATTAATTCCTGTGTCCTCGCCCTTTGTATCTTTGCAACCCACGAGGATCTCCACAGTACGAGTTCCTCAAATTGTCGAATCTTTCAATCTTAGGAGCTTCTCCTCCAGGAGTCAGGCCACCATCCGCGACATGAATACATAATACTGACCACCTGCTGTCATGCAGTCAGCTGATGTGTCCTCTGGAGCCACCTCGTGTCATAACTGTCATACCCATAACTGGTCACTGGTTGGTGTTCACTGGTGAGTGTGTGTGTGAGAGTACAGGTGAGTTCATTCACCTGTACTCTTATTGTAGTGTTCTAAATGTGCTCATAGGGTCGAGTGCTTGACCAGGTGGAGGGGAGGGGGGGGGGGGGTTTGTCTAATGCAGCTACTCCTGATCCTTCTGTGTGGTGTCGTAGCTGCCCTCAAAAAGTTGCATTACCGTGTACTGTCTTCCCTCTCTGGTTCCTTCCCGTTTACACATTACAGGTATGTAAACCCATAGTGTGTAAAAAGGACCTCCTCTCCTAGGTTAAAAGGTTCTTGCTAATGTACCTGCGGCCCATTGACCAAACCACACACTAGAAAGTGAAGGGACGACTGTGTATTAAAGTGGTGGTGCCAAAAGCACAATTAGAGAACACAGTGAAGAACATCAGGGAGATGGGGGAGGGGGCACTCTTTGACACTTCAATCTCCTGCCAACCATGGTGCTAAGTGCAATATTGGCCGTAAATTCAATAGTGGTCATAAGTCTAGAGTGGCTCACCAGTATTTCTTAGTAATTCTGAAGATGGCAGATTTAGGTGGTGGGATGTAGGGGTGGGTGGAGATAGGATGACCCGGGCGCGGCCTAGGTCAAAAAATACTAACCTGATAGTAGGGACGATGACGGACCTGAAAGAGAAGGAAAGAACTGAATGAGCGAGATTGACTGTGGTTTTAGATTCGGAACCGAGAACGAGATTTTCGGAATGATTCGGAACGAGATTTTAGATTAGATTTAGACCCGGAACAAAAAAGTTCCAAGTAGCACGGGCTGTGGTGAGCCCGTAGTGACTGGCACAGGAGCGGGGCTGTGACTGTGTCCGAGGTTGACTGGTATCATTGGTGTTAGGCCTTTTCTGCCATAGTGTTATCCTTTTTTGCGCTACCGCTCACAGGATGAGTATGGGGGTGCAGAGGCTCTCCTCCGGCGGCAACAATCACAATTGACGAGAGAGATTGTAGCTAACCTAGTGTTTGTGTCGGGGTTCCCGCGCTGATTGTGTGGTCAGGAGGAGGATAAGGTACAGGAAGCCCGGGTTTGACTGACAATGATGGAATTATGCAGCCTAACCTCGCGAATATTGCATTGCATTTCGATGTCAAAATCCCAAACGCCTAAATATAAGGGGTACTATAAATCATAGCGGCTCTCAAACATTCACAGTTTTTTATGTGTAGGTTCGAGTGTTTTAATGCGCCATCTTTCTGTCCGTTGTGGTAACTGGAGAGGCTGCAGCCTGGGAAGACTTAACAGCTTCACAAACCAGGCAGCCTCCAAGGAAGGCTGGCTCCTGGCAAGGCTGGCTCCTGGCAAGACTGGCTCCTGGCAAGGCTGGCTCCTGGCAAGGCTGGCTCCTGGCAAGGCTGGCTCCTGGCAAGGCTGGCTCCTGGCAAGGCTGGCTCCTGGCAAGGCTGGCTCCTGGCAAGGCTGGCTCCTGGCAAGGCTGGCTCCTGGCAAGGCTGGCTCCTGGCAAGGCTGGCTCCTGGCAAGGCTGGCTCCTGGCAAGGCTGGCTCCTGGCAAGGCTGGCTCCTGGCAAGGCTGGCTCCTGGCAAGGCTGGCTCCTGGCAAGGCTGCGGAAATAAAAGAACTTTTGCAAATCATCAACAAGACGTTGCTTTCATAACAAACATATCCCTCCCCCCCCCACCCCCGTACCCTACCATAGCGATATTTTCACTACCAGGAGGCCTGGTCGACGACCGGGCCGCGGGGACGCTAAGCCCCGGAAGCACCTCAAGATAACCATACACAGCTCCCCCACCAACCCCCAGACACCCATACACACCTCCCCCCACCAACCCTCAGACACCACATTAACCACCTCAACCAACCGCTGCTCATCCATCTCCTTTAACCCTTTTATCACTATTTATGTTTCCCCTTCCTTCTTCCCCCTCCCCTCTTGGCGCTTCGGGGGTGTAGTGTTTTTATTTAGCTTTTATAAAGGTTTTATATAGGTTTTAATACTAGCACCTCCAACCTTACAACTTCTTAGTCAACTTCACATATCCCCCCCACCGCCACCACCAAACTCCACCACTACCACCAAACTTCACCAAACACCACCACTACCACCAAACTCCACCAAACACCACTGGTTTACTGAAAATCTGGTTTTGTGTAAATTAAATTCTGGGGGAATACACAAATACCTTTTGAAGTTCATACTTGACATGTCAAAGAGTAATACACCGTTGTACGTAACCAAACGTAACGAAACTGAACTTTAACCGTTACGTAACCCTAACCTAATCATGGACAGGGAGTAGTTAATATAGCCTTAATTACGTAATGGTTTTTTTAAGCTATTATTTCCAAAGGGGTCTTCTCTCCTGAAGACAGGTGACTTTTATAGCATTTATAGGTACTGTTATATACGTTCAGGGCGTGCCTATATCATCCCTATATGTCATACACTGGTTCCATTGCTTGACTTAGGCTCGGGGAGTAGGAGGAACAACTCTGGGAACCCTCTACAGGTATGCTCCAGGCATGAACTCGACCACTGGAAACACAGGACCTGTGATCATAGATTATTATATAATTCCCCGTGAAGCGTGTACTCTGTTATTACGTGTTTGTATTACAATTACTTATTTTCTTTAGAGAAAATCATTTTTTTCTCAGTTCGAAGGTTATCAGAGAATTGTGGTATATTTTACGAGTAAGACGGGAGTAAGTCCCTTGAGGGTGATGGGGGGGGGGGTGCTGAGAGGGGTGGAGTGTGGGGGGGGGTGCTGAGAGAGGTGGAGTGTGGGGGGGGGTGCTGAGAGAGGGGGGGAGTGTAGGGGTGCTGAGAGAGGGGGGGGGGAGTGTAGTAGTGGAAGACTGAGGGCTCGTGTCCTCGGGTCATCAGTATGTGTGGTGTCCTACGCTCACTAATTATGTAATCACACAAACCTGTCTGGCCGTCAGCTTGAGTGTGTGAGGTGTAAACCCTTAATGGTGTCAACTGTCAGCTTGGGAGTGTGGTGGTGGTGTTAAGGTCGCATAATGGCAATTTTCAGACCGTCTTGTTGCCGGGGCGCTGTGTTAATCATCTGAAGACATAATCTCGTCTTGAGTTCTGCTCGGTACTCACTTCCCCCTTCAGAGCAGGAAAGATTGCTGAAATAGAGGGAGTACAGCGAACATATACGGCACGCATAGACGAAATTAAGCACCTCAATTATTGGGATCGTCTCAAAGCTCTCCAAATGTACTCTCTAGAAAGGAGACGAGAGAGATAGCAAATAATATACACGTGGAAGATATTGGAGGGCCAGGTCCCAAATCTACACAGTAAAATAACAACGTACTTTAGTGAACGATATTGAAGAAAATGCAGAATAGAACCAGTGAAGAGCAGGGGTGCCATAGGCACAATCAGAGAACACTGTATAAACATCAGAGGTCCGCGGTTGTTCAACATCCTCCCAGCGAGTATAAGAAATATTGCCGAAAGAACCGAGGACATCTTCAAGAGAAAACTAGATAGTTTCCTCCAAGGAGTGCCGGACCAACCAGGCTGTGGTGGATATGTGGGCCTGCGGGCCACTCCAAGCAACAACCAGTTGGACCAAGCTCTCACAGGTCAAGCCTGGCCTCGGGCCGGGCTTGGGGAGTAGAACAACTCCCAGATCCCTATCAAGCAGGTACATGAAATCTGCGAGAAGCAATATTTGAACTTATTGATGTAACAAATTACAGAGGTCGTGTTAGTTATGCAGAGGTCTTTGTTAGTTATCTGGAGGTCTTTGTTAGTTATCTGGAGGTCTTTGTTAGTTATCTGGAGGTCTTTGTTAGTTATCTGGAGGTCTTTGAAAAGGTTGGATTGCAGCATTGTGATAACTAAGGGAAGATGTAAAGTATTTAGGGAAGGGAGCTACTGGGAATGGGGCGAGCAACTAAGTGATAGGGGCGGGCACCTGAGTGATGGGGCAGAGCAACTAAATGAGGGGAGGGGGCGAGCAACTAAGTGATATGTAGTTTATTGATAAGTGAATTCAAGGTTTGTATACGTGAGGTATGAAGGGCGTGCGGCGAGACAGGCCGAGAGGAGACGGACAGACAGGGAGGCAGACAGGCAGACAGACAGGCAGACAGACAGGCAGACAGACAGAGAGGCAGACAGGCAGACAGACAGAGAGGCAGACAGGCAGACGGGCAGGGAGCAGGCAGGGAACAGTCAGGGAGGGGGAGGAGACAGAAAGCTTACAGGGTGAAGGTGTGCTCCTCATTAGCATAACGCCATGGGCAGTGCAAGGCCAAGGTGTTGAGTGGTGCCGTCCCATTGGCTCCACGCCGGTGCCGGGACCCGTCAAGGTGTTCAGCTTGGTGGCGGGGTGGTGGCCACCACTCCTCCAGCTGTGGGCGCCTTGGAAATGTGTACCATTCACGCCTGGAGCAGAGGCTCTGGACTCTACGGCTGGAGCAGAGGCTCTGGACTCTACGGCTGGAGCAGAGGCTCTGGACTCCACACCTGGAGCAGAGGCTCTGGACTCTACGGCTGGAGCAGAGGCTCTGCACTCTACGGCTGGAGCAGAGGCTCTGGACTCTACGGCTGGAGCAGAGGCTCTGGACTCCACACCTGGAGCAGAGGCTCTGGACTCCACACCTGGAGCAGAGGCTCTGGACTCCACACCTGGAGCAGAGGCTCTGGACTCTACGGCTGGAGCAGAGGCTATGGACTCTATGGCTAGAGCAGAGGCTCTGGACTCTACGGCTGGAGCAGAGGCTCTGGACTCTATGGCTGGAGCAGAGGCTCTGCACTCTATGGCTGGAGCAGAGGCTCTGGACTCTACGGCTGGAGCAGAGGCTCTGGACTCTACGGCTGGAGCAGAGGCTCTGGACTCTACGGCTGGGGCAGAGGCTCTGGACTCTACGGCTGGGGCAGAGGCTCTGGACTCCACACCTGGGGCAGAGGCTCTGGGCTCCACACCTGGGGCAGAGGCTCTGGACTCTATGGCTGGAGCAGAGGCTCTGGACTCCACACCTGGAGCAGAGGCTCTGGACTCTACACCTGGAGCAGAGGCTCTGGACTCCACACCTGGAGCAGAGGCTCTGGACTCTACACCTGGAGCAGAGGCTCTGGACTCTATGGCTGGAGCAGAGGCTCTGCACTCTATGGCTGGAGCAGAGGCTCTGGACTCTACGGCTGGAGCAGAGGCTCTGGACTCTACGGTTGGAGCAGAGGCTCTGGACTCTACGGCTGGAGCAGAGGCTCTGGACTCTACGGCTGGAGCAGAGGCTATGGACTCTATGGCTAGAGCAGAGGCTCTGGACTCTACGGCTGGAGCAGAGGCTCTGGACTCTACACCTGGAGCAGAGGCTCTGGACTCTACACCTGGAGCAGAGGCTCTGGACTCTACACCTGGGGCAGAGGCTCTGGACTCTACACCTGGAGCAGAGGCTCTGGACTCTACGGCTGGAGCAGAGGCTCTGGACTCTACACCTGGGGCAGAGGCTCTGGACTCTACACCTGGGGCAGAGGCTCTGGACTCTACACCTGGGGCAGAGGCTCTGGACTCTACGGCTGGAGCAGAGGCTCTGGACTCCACACCTGGGGCAGAGGCTCTGGACTCTACGGCTGGAGCAGAGGCTCTGGACTCCACACCTGGGGCAGAGGCTCTGGACTCTACGGCTGGAGCAGAGGCTCAGGACTCCACACCTGGGCAGAGGCTCTGCACTCTACGGCTGGAGCAGAGGCTCAGGACTCCACACCTGGGGCAGAGGCTCTGGACTCTACACCTGGGGCAGAGGCTCTGGACTCTACGGCTGGAGCAGAGGCTCTGGACTCTACGGCTGGGGCAGAGGCTCTGGACTCTACGGCTGGAGCAGAGGCTCTGGACTCTACGGCTGGAGCAGAGGCTCTGGACTCTACGGCTGGAGCAGAGGCTCTGGACTCTACGGCTGGAGCAGAGACTCTGGACTCTACGGCTGGAGCTGAGGCTCTGGACTCTACGCCTGGAGCAGAGGCTCTGGACTCCACACCTGGAGCAGAGGCTCTGGACTCCACACCTGGAGCAGAGGCTCTGGACTCCACACCTGGAGCAGAGGCTCTGGACTCCACACCTGGAGCAGAGGCTCTGGACTCCACACCTGGAGCAGAGGCTCTGGACTCCACACCTGGAGCAGAGGCTCTGGACTCTACGGCTGGAGCAGAGGCTCTGGACTCTACGGCTGGGGCAGAGGCTCTGGACTCTGCGGCTGGAGCAGAGGCTCTGGACTCTACGGCTGGAGCAGAGACTCTGGACTCTACGGCTGGAGCTGAGGCTCTGAACTCTACGGCTGGAGCAGAGGCTCTGGACTCCACACCTGGAGCAGAGGCTCAGGACTCCACACCTGGAGCAGAGGCTCAGGACTCCACACCTGGAGCAGAGGCTCTGGACTCCACACCTGGAGCAGAGGCTCTGGACTCCACACCTGGAGCAGAGGCTCTGGACTCCACACCTGGAGCAGAGGCTCTGGACTCCACACCTGGAGCAGAGGCTCTGGACTCCACACCTGGAGCAGAGGCTCTGGACTCCACACCTGGAGCAGAGGCTCTGGACTCCACACCTGGAGCAGAGGCTCTGGACTCCACACCTGGAGCAGAGGCTCTGGACTCTACACCTGGAGCAGAGGCTCTGGACTCTACACCGTGGGAAAAAAAGGGGGGTTTCAGGGTAGTGGTGACTCCAGACTCTGGAGTTGGTGGTAGGGACTCGGGCCGCTGGTGAGGGCTTGGAGGCGACAATGCTCCTCCAAGGAGGCCCAGGTTCGGAAAACCTCAATATAACGATGCTCGGAAAACGTCAATATTAGGTGCTTGAAATCGTACTTAACGCCATCAATTTTAATGGCGTGGTCGCTTCTGTTACAATGCGACGCATAGAGAGAGGACGGGATGCGATTTTCGAATGGTGAAACGAAATGACACTGTTAGGCTCATGTTGTCTTCTCGCTAAGACTAGTCAGTCGATGTGTAAACATGAAGGTCAGTGTGTGAAGTGGTGAACGCCAGAAATATCATCGCCAAGCCACGCGGAAAGTAGCAGGAAACTTGCTACTAGAAAGTAGCAGGAACCCCCTGCCTTGAAGGGCTTGTGTTGCAACCCGTTCTCGCACTTTAAGTCAACATTGACTTATTAAATAAGTGCATATGTGACATACTAATTTATTGTGAATATTTTAGTTTACCTTGAAAAGCTTCATAGAAAACATCAACCTTACCTAACCTCCTTAGTATGTTAAGATAAGCATCTTATTACTTCGTAATTACAATTATTACTTAACCTATTATAGGTATAGGTTAAGTAATAATTGTAATTACGAAGCAATAACATGCTTATCTTAACATACTAAGAAGGTTAGGTAAAGTCGGTGTATTCTATGAAGCTTTTCAAGGTAAACTAAAATATTCACAATAAATTAGTATGTCACATATGCACGTATTTAATAAGTCAATATTGACTAAGAAGGTGCGAGAACGGGTTGTGTGTTGCTCACACACACGCCCACGTTTTCTATATGTCTGTCTAGCAAGGTGTAGCTTATGATAATATAATTATTACAGACTCCCTAAGACAAGGGAGGGGAGGGGGGTTAGGGCGCCAAGCTGAACTGGACTTGGTGTGTTGTCTAGAACTCTCTGGGGGCCTTTCGTGCTGATTGATTGATGATGGATGGGGTGGCTTAATCTTCATCAAAGAGGTGGCACGGGCATGAATAGCCCGTAAGTGGTTGATTTTTGTTTTGGAGTGAATGTGATCTTTGGTCGTGTAAGGATATACTGTTTTATTTCCTGATGTTAGGCTACGGTGTCGCCACTGAGAGGGTGGTGTGCGTCGACCGCCCTCCTGCCAACACGAAAATTGTGTGAAAGAGCTACATTTTTTTTAAACATTGAATAAAATTGCCATTTCCCTATAGACATACATGTCTAGCGCTCACCCCTGATAATTACTGTATCTCGCAGATTTGTCCAGCTCGCAAGGGAGCCGGTGGCTGAGCGGACAGAACACTGGACGCGTGATGCTGTGGTCCTGGGTTCGATCCCGGGCGCCGGCGAGAAACTATAGGCAGAGTTTCTTTCACCATGATGCCCCTGTTACCTAGCAGTAAATAGGTACCTGGGTAGATAGGTAGTCAGCTGTCACGGGCTGCTTCCTGGGGGTGGAGGCCTGGTCGAGGACCGGGTCACGGGGACACTAAGCCCCGAAATCATCTCAAGATAACCTCAAGAAGTCAGTGCTGGTGTCTTGTCATTCTTTCCTCCATTGAAAGTTGAGATACCGCGTCGAGTCCCGGCTTGGTTACTGCCAGCCCGTCCTCCTCAGGTTTCCCAACGCTAAGAAGCCGTCGTACTTTAGTACCCTCTCCTAACCCACCAGTGGGCCCACGAACAGAAAACGGGATAGTATGTCATATTTTAGCAAGCGGCTACCATTTTCTAATATGACTTTTTTTTTGGAGGGGGGCCTTAGGTAAAGTATACGTCAAAATGCGACACGCTCTATTGGGAGGACGAGGGGGGGGGGGAATATCAGAGGAAAGCACCAAGCCATTACGACTATTTAGCACTTGGAAGGGGTCAGGATAAGGATTTAGAATGGGGGGGGGGGAAGGAATGGTGCCCAACCATTTGGACGGTCGGGGATTGAACGCCGACCTGCATGAAGCAAGACCGTCGCTCTACCGTCCAGCCCAAAGTGGTTGGACTATAGGGTGGACGGGACGGTTTAATACTAAGTGAAAATAAGTACAATTCCTGACTGCTATGAATAGTACATAATTGCACTTACTTGTGCTGTTACATTTACCTCCCCATTTTTGGAGGCTGTATAATAAGTGCGGTGGCGGGGGGTGCATCGCCCCCCCCCCCCCGCCCCCCACGCTCCCAGGATAAATGCAACTCAGGGCGGCGAAGATAGCGAGAATCCTGCATGTGATATCACACCATGACCTAATGTGATTTCTGATTGGTTATACCGCACGCGTATTTAAAAGGTGGAGGCGCGAAGAAGGGAATTTTATTTTTAATATTATTATTTATATTTTTAATTTATATTTATATTTTTTTTATATTTATATTTTTATTAAATTTATATTTTTATTATTATTACTATCTTATTTTTGGACCTATACCTTTTCGCTTTCACCTGGAGAGCTGGATGATTGTGTAGTGTTAATCACGTTGTTACAGATTCAGCTACTCTGAACAAGTTCCAAGTAGCACGGGCTATGGTGAGCCCGTAGCTTACCTGGCACAGGAGCGGGGCAAGTAGCATGGGCTATGGTGAGCCCGTAACTTACCTGGCACAGGAGCGGGGCAAGTAGCACGGGCTATGGTGAGCCCGTAGTGGACTTACCTGGCACAGGAGCGGGGCAAGTAGCACGGGCTATGGTGAGCCCGTAGTGACCTTACCTGGCACAGGATGTTAACCACGCGAGGCTTGTATAATGTACTGGTTTAGGTGCATTATCCGTGATATATTTGGCGTCATACCAGTGGGCACAAGTCATGGAGGTGAATAGATAGTCTGGGAGGGTGTTAGCGTGGGGGTGGGGGGGGGGGCGTGAGGTGTTGTGGGTGCCCACATTAGGGCTGAGGAGGTAGGAAAGGGTGTAGAGTGAGGGGGAAGGGGTCACGCTGCCTCATATGTTCACCTCACACACTTCATACTAACCTTTCTCCCCCCCCCCCTCGACCCCTCTACCCCCTCACCCACCACCCCTAACCCCCCGAACCCCCACCCCCCACTCCCTCCTCCTCTTCCCCAACGCCATTAATTTTTAATAAAGGTCACTCTCTGCCTTTGCCTTTTTTGGATCAAGTTGCTGCTTTGCATTTAATCGATTTCTGATCCAGATGGTGGGCATCTGGTGTGTTCAACTATTTGGCTTGGTTTGTGGTAATCCAGTGTGGCTGGCATGCCTGAATTTACCTGAGGGGGGCATCTCCCTAGTAGCCTCGAGGGAGATGGTAAGTCGGCGGCTTCTCAAAGGTACCTTGCTTTCACTGCGGTAACTGCTGACAATACTATTGAAATACTTGCATAGCAGTGTACTCGCCTAGTTGTACTCACCTAGTTACACTCACCTAGTTATACTCACCTAGTTGTGCTTGCGGGGGTTGAGCTCTGGCTCTTTGGTCCCGCCTCTCAACCGTCAAGCAACAGGTGTACAGGTTCCTGAGCCTACTGGGCTCTATCATATCTACCCTTGAAACTGTGTGTGGAGTCAGCCTCCACCACATCACTTCCTAATGCATTCTATTTGTCAACCACTCTGACACTAAAAAAGATCTTTCTAATATCTGTGTTATAAACAGCCTCCTGGTGCTTCGGAGCTCATTAACTGTTTAATAATTGTAAACAATGCCTCCAAAGATTGAAAAAAGATGTACAGGTTCGTGAGTGTTTACGTAACTTCTTCGTGAATCTAGCCCCAGGAGGCCTGGGTGAGGACCGGGCCGCGGGGACACTAAAGCTCCGAAATCATCTCAAGATAACCTGCGGGCCGCTACAAGTAACAGCCTGGTGGACCAAGCTCTCACAAGACAAGCCTGGCCTTGGGCCGGGCTTGGGGAGTAGAAGAACTCCCAGAACCCCAATCAAGCAAGGGGTTAAGTAATTATGAGGAGAAACAGCCCAGCACATGAGAACACGGATCTGGGGTAGGACCGGTGGGCAGGCTGTCAAACCGTTGGGGCTCGAACGCCGTCTTGCAATAAACAAGGCTGTCGTTGTGCCGACTAGTCCAAGTGAATGGGTATTTCTGGTGTCGATGAGAGTGATGGCACAGTGTGATGCGTGGGTTGCTTAGCAGCGTGTCGGAGGCTAGTGAACCCTCCGTGTGGGTGGGCGAGGAACCCACTGCTGCTCTTTACTGTACTTGCCCAGTCAATCCCACTCTCCACATACTACAATCATAGCGCTCTCTCTCTTTCCCTCCCCCTCCCTCTCCTCCTCCCTCCCTCCCTCTCCCCTCCCTCCCTCTCCCCCTCCCTCTCCCCCCTCCCTCTCCCTCCATCCCTCCCTCTCCCTCCCTCCCTCTCCCTCCCTCCCTCCCTCTCCCTCCCTCCCTCCCTCCCTCCCTCCCTCCCTCCCTCCCTCCCTCCCTCCCCCTCCCTCCCTCCCTCCCCCCTCCCTCCCTCCCCCTCCCTCTCCCCCTCCCTCTCCCCCTCCCTCTCCCCCTCCCTCTCCCCTCCCCTCCCCCTCCCTCTCCCCCTCCCTCTCCCCCTCCCTCTCCCCCCTCCCCTCCCTCTCCCTCCCTCTCCCCCTCCCCCCTCCCCCCTCCCCCTCCCTCTCCCCCTCCCTCCCTCCCCCTCCCTCCCCTCTCCCCCTCCCTCTCCCCCCCTCCCTCTCCCCCTCCCTCCCTCTCCCCCTCCCTCTCTCCCCTCCCTCTCCCCCTCCCTCTCCCCCTCCCTCTCCCCCTCCCCCTCCCTCTCCCCCTCCCTCTCCCCCCCCCCCCTCCCTCTCCCCCACCCTCCCCCTCCCTCTCCCTCCCCCCCCTCCCTCCCTCACCCCTCCCCTCCCCAGATATATAATGTAGTCTACCCTGAGACAGTAAATTAATTACTTAGTACAAATTGAGTCACTCAGACTCGAGTCCAGGTACTCCATCCAAATGTGAAATATTGCTTGTGTGTGTGTGTGTGTGTGTACTCACCAAGTTGTGTTTGCGGGGGTTGAGCTCTGGCTCTTTGGTCCCGCCTCTCAACCGTCAATCAACAGGT